TTTTCACTTTCCCTCTCTTTTTTCTCTCTCTGGTAAGCACATATGCCCTATAGCAAACTTAATAATTGTGATAAATAAAATAAATATTTTTAAAAACTTTAAAGAATATAGTCAAATTATAGACAACCTATTAACTATTTAGTATTTTCCATTACAATGATGATCATGGAGAAAGTAATCAAAGAGAATTGCAAGAATTGAGTTTGAAGTGATTAAGTTCTAGTATATAGTAATCACAATTTTGAGTGGAAACCAAAGACAGACCTGAGAAATAGAAGGACTAGAGTTACTACTTTGGGGCCATCAGGTGTCATGGAGGTTAAGGTGGCTAGATTCTACATGGCAACCCTGTGGCTCAAGACTCAGAGCTAGCTTTGCGCAGTGGCAGTATCGTAGCCAATGAGGTTTATCCGAGGCGCGATTATTGCTAATTGAAGACTCAGAGCTAGAAGCTTCAAAACTGCACTGGATGCATGTGAGTGCATGTCCAAAATCCTTAAAGGACAGGGAAGAAGAAGGGAATGTAGCATGGCCATCCCCCTTGGAGGGTAATTTCTCACTTTCCCTCTCCTCTCTCTTTTTTCTCTGGTAAGCACACGTACCCTAAAGCAAAACTAAAAAACAACAAAAAAGTTACTACTTTCTGTGAACAGTATAGATATTAATAACACTGACACATTTTAGAAAGGTAAACTATAGATAAATAAGTATCCGTAATGCGTACACCTGGATTCTTCACTCATCTACAATGACCCTGTTACTTCCATACTCATCCTTTTGTGTTATAAGGATGCTCTGTCTTAGCAGGCTCACTAAAGAAAGTGGCCAGTATACCCTTTGGGTTTTTTTTTTTTTTTTTTTTGGAGAGATTTTTTCACTGTAGGGCGCGTACGCTCGCCAGACAGACAGAGAGAGACATAGAGACAGAAAGCGAGAAATCACCCCCCAGGGGGGATGGTCACGCCGCAATCCCTTCTCCTCCATTCTCCTCTCGGGATCTTGGGCACGCACGCACACGCGCCCGGCGTGAGATTTAAGCCACCGGGTCTGAGACGCGAACCGCGGTCGACTACGTGGGAGTCCAGCGACATAGCCATTACGCTAACTGCTGGTTCCCACCCTTTGGTTTTTGAGAAGGTTCTCTTCAGACATCAAAGAGCCATGGAGCTGACTAATAGCCAGGCAATAAGGATGAATTTTTCTCTGAGTATTTAGGTATGTTAGAGCTTGATGCTAGTAGAATTTAGAGGGTCTACAAAAGATACCTTAAGGATTCATAGTCTGACTAACTTTTGTTTCCTCAACCATAGAGACTATGAGGCTCTTTACCCACATTTCTTAACTTGGAACTATGTGTCTATATTGATGAATCAGTAATAGAAAGGGAGACAAGTTTGTGCCTATTCATTTATAGAAACAATATTGTTGTTGCATCATGATTTTATAGTGCTGAAATATGGAGCACAGTATGCATGGGAACCTTTAAGAGACCAAGGATATTGTCTTACTTACATTCAGATCTTCATCTAGCATGCCCTGGCTAATGATCATTGTTCAATAAATATCTGTTAAGGAATTGATAAAATGAATAAATGTAGAAAGATTTTATACAAACTGAAAATATTTCTAGTTATATCTAGATTTGAGTAATTCTATTCTTGAATATATTAATCTTTTGTAATAGCTGACTTTTTTAAGTGTTATTTATTTAATTCTATTTATTTATTATATTTTAATTTAACGAGAGAGAGGCAGAGAGTAAGAGAGCAGCGTGAGTTTTAAGCCACCGGGTCCGGGACACGAACCGCGGTCGACTACGTGGGAGTCCAGCGACATAGCCATTACGCTAACTGCTGGTTCCCACCCTTTGGTTTTTGAGAAGGTTCTCTTCAGACATCAAAGAGCCATGGAGCTGACTAATAGCCAGGCAATAAGGATGAATTTTTCTCTGAGTATTTAGGTATGTTAGAGCTTGATGCTAGTAGAATTTAGAGGGTCTACAAAAGATACCTTAAGGATTCATAGTCTGACTAACTTTTGTTTCCTCAACCATAGAGACTATGAGGCTCTTTACCCACATTTCTTAACTTGGAACTATGTGTCTATATTGATGAATCAGTAATAGAAAGGGAGACAAGTTTGTGCCTATTCATTTATAGAAACAATATTGTTGTTGCATCATGATTTTATAGTGCTGAAATATGGAGCACAGTATGCATGGGAACCTTTAAGAGACCAAGGATATTGTCTTACTTACATTCAGATCTTCATCTAGCATGCCCTGGCTAATGATCATTGTTCAATAAATATCTGTTAAGGAATTGATAAAATGAATAAATGTAGAAAGATTTTATACAAACTGAAAATATTTCTAGTTATATCTAGATTTGAGTAATTCTATTCTTGAATATATTAATCTTTTGTAATAGCTGACTTTTTTAAGTGTTATTTATTTAATTCTATTTATTTATTATATTTTAATTTAACGAGAGAGAGGCAGAGAGTAAGAGAGAGAGAAAGTGAGAAAGTAACCCGCCAGGTCCAGGACTCAAACCACAATTGGCCATGTGGGAGTTATGCCACCCGCTGGCCCCAGTAATATGTTGATTTGTTGATTTTAAAAAGCAGCTAACATTATTTTTACCAGGGACTAAAAGAATCATTTCTATTTGATAATAGTCATGCTAACTTTAATTTTAAAATCTAGTCATTTTTGGTGGTGGATCATAGAAATAATGTAGAACTTGGGATCAGCAGTTAGCATAATGGCTATGTCTCTGGACTCTCATGTAGTTGACCGCGGTTCGCGTCCCAGACCTGGTGGCTTAAAACTCACGCTAGGCACATGTGCGTGCGTGCCAAGATCCCAAGAGGAGTAGGGAGGAGAAGGGATTGTGGCGTGGCCATCCCCCATGGGGGGTGATTTCTCGCTTTCTGTCTCTCTGTCTCTCTCTATCTGTCTGGCGAGCGCACGTGCCCTATAGCAAAAACTGTCTAATAAAAGGAAACTAATAGTTCAAAGTATGCTCCCCATATGAAGAGACTATCCATTAAGTCCAAAAGGTGAAATTTGAAGGTTTACTTGGTGGGAAGTTGTGGATGAGAGATTAGCGAAGAATAGAAAAGAATAAACTCTAGCTGGCAGAACAGAGAAATACCCCTGGCCCCATATCCCCATGTTTTTATGACAAAGCAGAGGCTAATATAATTTAATACGGTAAAGTAGCCTGTTCCTGTTATCTCTTTCCATAAGGACCAGCTCTCCTAAGTAGCTTTACTGATTTCTACTTCATGACCCAATGTGGTGGAAATTTATCTACTTCATTCTTTGGAGTTGTAGAGCATACTACTCAGTTTTCTTTCCCTTACTTTTCTTGCTGTTTGACTTTACAGTGTCATTCACATTAGAGTAGCAGAATTTTTGCAGACCCATGCTTTAAATCACTAGGGCACATAGTCAATGGTTGAAATTTAATGGATTAAAAAATGGCAGTATAATCTTGAAATAGCTAAATAAATGTGTAACTATGCACATAAAACTGAAGACTTGGGCTATAGTCCCAGCACTTGTAGTAACACAATATCAAAGGAATATTTTGGGGCTATGAGGAATTTGGGCTTAGACAGGCTATAAGCAGATAAAGCTGTGACATTCAGAATAGCTATGGAAGCATAGTGGTAGAGCCTCCAGTGAGCTGAAAGATTCCTAGTGAGAGTGTTCTCAGCACTGATGTCAGCCATGTACGAGCATAATAGGAGGTTTTTTTTCTTACTCTTCATATTGGAACATTCAAATAGTATGTTTATATTTAATGCAAATCATAGTTTCCTTTGTTTCTTTGCTGGCCTGCTTGATTTTTTTTTTTTTCTTGAGAGAGATTTTTGTTCTAAGGGCATATGTTCTCACTAAAGAGTAGAGACAGAAAGACAGAAAGCAAGAAATAGCCCCCGACCCTACCCCTCACAGGGAGAATATCCATGCCACAATCTTTTCTCCTCCATTGATCTTGGCATATACACATGCGCCCAGTGTGAATTTGAAGCCACAGGGTCCAGGACTGGAACCACAGTCAACTACATGGGAGTACAGCGGTGTAACCATTACGCCACCTGCTGGTCCTGCCTGTTTGTTTGACTTTCAAGTTCAGGTTTGATTAGACAATTTTGTAAGTTATCCCAACCTTCTTAGAGTTAGACTTTCTTTTTTTCTTTAATTTGCCAGTGGGTATGTATACTCACTGGAGAGAGACAGCAGAGAGACAAAAAGATGAGGAAAATGAGAAAGCACACCCCCATAATGGATGTTCATGCTGCTGCTTCTCCATTTCTAGATTTTGGGTATACATGCCCAGTGTGTTTCAAGTTGTTGGGTGGGGACTCAAACCACGCAACTGACCACGTGGTATCCATCCTCCTTAACTACCAGCCAACCACTAGCCTAACTTAGACCTTCTTAGGATGGTAGTAATAATAACCTAAAGCATAATAATCATGTAAGTGATTTATTTTTGCTCACAGGCCGAAGAAAAGGCCTTAGATTACTTTCTTTGTGTCCTTGATAACTTCTCTAAACAAGATGTATTTTTTTCCATTCCACATAAAGGCCAAAGAGTAGGGATAGCACAATTTGGCTATACAGATTCTCATTTACTGTGTAAGGACTTTGCCTTCCTTTAACTCTAAAGCAAGTGTCATTCTTAAAATTCATAATAAACTTTTTAAAAAGTTTTGTCACTATAAACAAAAATGTTGGTATTTTATAAATTTTTGGAAAGTTTGGGGATTATTAACAACCTATGCTTTATGACAGCATTTTTGAAATGGCTTCAACATGTTTTAGGCAGAAATACAGTCACTTTCTTATAACTTACCATCTATTTTGGAATTAAAGTTTCCCACATAGACTTTTTTTTTAGGAAAAAAACAGTTAGTATCAGGTAAGTATTTTTGCTTTCTGATTTAAAGTTTCCTGTTCAGTTTTTATGTTTTTCTATTTTCAGCTTTCTAAGAAGTATGGAGTCCATGTTTGTGGAGAAGGTGGAGAGTATGAAACATTCACTTTGGATTGCCCTCTATTTAAGAAGAAAATAATTGTGTAAGATATCATTTCAGCATTTTCTTCCCTTTCCTTAAATTTAAGTGATGGAAGCAACTTAACATTAAGCTTGAGGCAACTTTTGTTGGGAGAAATAGAACATGTCCTCTAAGTTCACAAACACTCAATTTGTTTAATACCAGTGAAGTCGTCTGAATACCTAAATCAATACCTGACAAGACGAGGCCTTCATAGAAGGCTATAAACTTTTTAGACATTGCACTTTCGTTTACTTGCTGATTATGGCCTGCAGTAAAACTGGTACCTACATACTGACACTTTTATCCTTTCATGAAGTGTGAATTGCCTGTATTATTTATCTTTCATTACAACTACATTTGATAAACTGCCACATTGGTAGCCTGTGGGTTCCATTAACTCCATCCTCTTTCCCCCCCCTTTTTTTTTTTGGCTTTAACAACTTAGAATGGTAATGCTCAACATTTTTCTTCAGTTATTTGGGGTTATTTTTACATATTTATTTTACTTTTAAATGAATTCAGTTTATGACTAGTAGTGTGTTCTTTTTCATAAATTCTTAAATCTGGTATAGTAAAAAACAGGAAGTTTCCATTTGTTACATTATTATCCAGGTTCTAATTTATGTCACTCTTCTCATATATTAAGAGAGCACTATATCTGCTTTTCTAGATGCCTATGCTTCTTGAAAAAGATTGTCAGAGTTATGTTTGATTGAATGAACAGTTTCAACATTTTCAAAACTAAGATGAGTTTTTCATACTTGTTAATAATGAGGGAAGGAGAAATCTAAGAAAATTAAAAACTGTAGCTGGATTTTCTAAATCTAAGAAAACAAGGAAAGGCATTTTCATTACCATATACAGTATTACTGTATTCTTGTTTCTTTTGTGTTCTTTTAGCTTCATTTCCATTAGCAATTAATATAAGAGAGGATGGGGTATGGGAAGAAGGAGAATGCATACTTTGTGAGCTGACCCACAGGAAAGCGCTGTAAGTTAGCATTAGAGAACTCCGAGTGCACCTGGCATTGCCAATGCCCAGGATCTGAGGCTGACTGAAGCTGGAGGTAGACGTGGTGTAGGGACCCTGTTGGGAGTATTGTCTCTCTCTGTCTGTCTTTCTGTCTTGGAAGAAATAAATAATACAATATTCAGGGAAAAAATAACAGAAGAATTTATTTGGCAAATATTTATCAAGTACCTGCTATGTTCAAAGCATCCTACTAGGCACCGCTGATATTGAAAAATAATTCTACATGCATAGTGTTGGAAGGAAGACATATCTGGGTAAAATTATGATACAAGGTGGTAAAGGATAAGAGTCTTAAGTTTGTAGATGGGAGAGATTTCTTCTTACCATAGTGATTACAAAACAATTTATGAGTGATGAATTACTTCTGTAAAATAATACCCTTAGGTTAATCAAAGAAAGCATTTGCATGCTACAGTGAAATTAAAATATAGTGGAAAACTTGGGATATATTTATTTATTAATATGATAGTAACCAGATTAGAAAAAAATTAAAAAGCAAGACCATAAGAAGACTCCGAAGAATAATACTTTTTCTGGTTACCTGACAAGTTGAGGTCCAAGAGCACACAGAAGTCTTTATGGATGACCTAGAAACATAAGAATCATACTATTCTATGCAAAATACCAAAAAGTCTGTTTGTCCTAGTATTTTAGACCAGAAAAATGAATCTTTTTCATTCTGTTTTGTAGATAAGGAAACCTAAGCCTGACAGAGATAAAACATGTGGGGAATTAGTCATAATATTAAGGAAAAGGTGGTAGGAAAGGTACCATTAGAACTCTCTGATGCCAGAATGGTATGTTCAGTGCAACTGAATAATAATGTACTGAATGGAACTCTGTAAGCTGCTGGTCTGCTCTAAAGAAGTTCTTTCTGTAATAGAAAAGATGGATGAGCAAATTAATAATACATGATAAATGCTACCTGCTGGGTGTGTACCTTGAAAACACAAAGGAAATATTCTCACTCATTTACCTATTAACCACCAATCTATTTCTGATGTTTTAAGCATATATTTTTTAATTTTTGTAGAGAGATTTTTGCTATAGGGCGCAAGCACTCATGGGAGAGACAGAGACAGAAAGTAAGAAATCACCCCCTTGGGGGATTATGGCCACACCATAATCCCTTCTCCTCCATTCTCCTCTCAGGATTTTGGGCACGCATCCGCTCATGTCCAGGGTGAGCCTGAAGCCATTGGTTCTGGGGCTTGAACCGTGGTTGACAACATGGGAGTCCAGTGACATAACCATTATGCCATCCACTGGTCTCTACTCTACTTTTTTATGCATAGATTGTACTGCACTTCAGCTTCATACCTGTGTTGATTCATTTACTCTAGATTGCTTTCCCATTTCTCCCCACTTTGCTAAATCCTTCCATTTTTAGAGGCTTTGACTGCCATTGTCTCTAGTTCTCATTCTCAGACCTGAACTGTCATAATATGTAGTAGGAAATAATAAATGTTAGCTAAATATTGTTAAATTAATTTGTCATTTATTTATTTTTATTTTCATATTGTTTCACTAACATTTATTCTTTTTTAGGTTATAATTAGATGCTATAGGCTGGTATATACTCTGATTTAGTGGAGAAAGTCTGTCATTTACTATATACAAAATTTTCCTTTCCCTTTAAAATAACAATGTCACTATCATATTTGCCTATTGCATATTTACACTAAAGTGATGGAGCAAACATACATTATGCATTCTAAAACTGTATGTAAATAAGTTATTTTATTTATAGATAGTTTTCCATATGATATGATTAAAAGATAAGTTTAGTCCCCATAACTATTTTAAATAATTGGCCATTAATAAAGCAAGATTCTGTATTTTAGAATTCAATTTGGGGACGAATTTAACAACTTCTATTATATTTGATATAATCGTGATCTGCCACAGTTAGCATATAAATAATCCTTTATTAGGAATCTCATTTCAGATGTCTGAGTCAAAAGAAATTTATTTGGGTAAGAAATACTACTAGGGCCAGAGGGGGCATAGTGGTTAAGGAGCTGGATTCCCACATGGCCAACTGCAGTTCGAGTCTTAATCCATTGACTTGAAACTCATACTAGGCACATGTGCATCTATGCCCAAAATCCTGAGAGAATGGTGGAGAAGGGATTACGGTGTGGCCATCTCCGTTGCAGGGTGATTTTTCACTCGCTGTCTCTCCAGCAAACGCATGTACCCTACAGCAAAAATCTCTTAAAAAATAAATAAATAAAAAGAAAGAAAGAAAGAAAAAAATGAATGAATGAATACTACCTCTAAGGGAGGAAAATTAAACTTTCACATGTAAAATATTTCATTACATTTAAATATATTTTAAAGTATGGACTTAATTCTTTTTTTATAATGAAGTAATTTAGCTTGGAGTGTTTCTAAAAGTTACCATGGTAAATATTTTTCCAAATTCCAGTTAACATTTTAAAAATTTTATAGGGAAGATTGATTCACTTTTCATGTCAATTAGTATGTGAACTCAATCATCTCTAGATACAAACTTGAGATAACAAAATAATTTTTTTTTTCCTGAGCAACCCTGATTATAGCCTAGCTTTCAAGAGAAGAAAACAATTGTATGTCCTCAAATGAAAGAACTCATATTACATATGTATGTGTGTGTATGTGTATATAGGTGTGTACATCTTAGTGAATGAAGAGATCAGATATAGAGAGAGAGATCTCAAAAGTATGTTTAGGTTTTTTGTTTTGTTTTGTTTACTGTGGCACAGAGGGTCTCTGTTTCTTGGGTTGACCAGAAGATATTCTGACAAATACTACTTTTAGGGTTCAGAGAATATCATGAAGCAGAGACTAGAGATTCTTGAAAGTTAAGTTTCAGCTGACAGCATATGAAACAGAAAAGAACAATATTGGCATTATTCTGTTTGAAACTATAAACTGTGTATTTGAGTCTAATCTTTCTTAATTAACTCTCCCTTTTTATAAGTAAATGAAATAATGTTAGTCAATTAGAGATTATAGATTTAAAAGAATCCATAAACATGAAATTTCTTTTATTTAGTACTTGGAATGTTAAATATTCTCTCTGGATAACAGCCTTTATTCATAATGCAATAATTTTATCAAGTAAGTCAGCTCTTTGCTATTATCTTTTCTGTTTCTAGTGAGGATAACTAACATAAAAAAGGGGGGCCTGAAGCCCTTTCTGCTGAGATAGTATTTGTTCAGGTTAATTCTAGTTTTGGTACACACCATTGTCAAGGTATTAAAATCAAACTGCAGAAATGAGGCATAATTAAGGGTCAAGGTCAGTTCCCAGGTTGAAGTCAGGAATGGAGATACTGAAATTTAATGTATGAATGAGAATGTAAACAGGAATTGAGAGATTGATCGATTGATTAGATAGAGTGCATGTGTACACATGGCAGAGAGACAGCAAAAAAAAAGAAAGGGAAGCACCTTCCACAGGGTCTGGTCACTTGACCAGCTTGTTCAGCTTCTTCCAACCCTCAGCTTGTCAGATCTTGGGCACTCATGCACATACCTAATGTGTTTCAGGCTGATTATGTGAGGATTCAAAGCAGGGTGGCCATTTGGGTTCTGGCTCCTTTTAAGCAGCACATTGGCCCAGAAATTGATGTTTGAATCTGATTGCTGAGACAAAATAGGGTCAGAATAGGCAACTCTGAAGAAAAGAGAAAGAACAATAAGATTAGGACTAACAAGATTCTTTTCTTTTTCCTCCTCTCCATTATACCTGGAGGCTTTTTTTTTTTTTTTTTTTTTTT